TAGGATGAAATATTAGATAATTAGCATAATTTAGTAAACAAAAGTTTAGGTGCATTTAGATTAATTAGTGCATAATTAGAAATTTGGATTTAATTGATAATTTGTTTTATCCTATTGTAAGCCTACAAATAGCTACTTTAAGAATCGTAATGGGAGCTTTTTGAATATTATTTTGGAATAGAACATTGTTCCAGAGAGTGTTCTCACAACCTTGGGGATGGATTCACCCCTCATTTAGCAATGGATCGGCAAAAAAATTGTGGAATATAGAGTCCCACTTGGAAAAGATATATATATGCATATGTATAGCTCAAATGAAATGGTTTGTACTACTCTGTAAAGTAGAACTTCTCCATAACCAGATTCCCGTGCCTGTATAAACAATCTAAACTATGTTTCAGGTTAATTACAAACCTGAACACGGCTCCAGAGCAAAGGAACTGAAGCCCTGGCATTATTTCGAACATAAACATTTGTCATGAGTGGTTGATTAGGAAACTCCAAAAGAAGTGTGTCCGTATCTGTTGTCAAATTATGATTGGAAATTGTAAGGCTTCGAGGAACAGCATCGTACAGAGTTCCAGCACCACCAGAATTTTCTGGGCAAGCCAAACTACGTCCCCCTACATGAATAACATATATATGGCAACAGCTTAGCAATACAACTAAATGAATTAACACAACGGCATCCATAGTAAGCACAAAGTTACATTGCAAACAAGCAGTTAAAGTACAGAAGAATTATTCTAGAAAAATTGTTGAGAGATGAAAGTAGTCAGTCCAATCTCGCTTCATTCACTCGTGCTAAATACACAAGGGGGAAAAGGTTGAATACAGCATTGAACACCAGAAGGGGACCAAACATCATGAAGAGCTAAATGAAGGGAAAAAGTAAAGAACATGGAGCCTCTCAAGAAGGATGTTTCTGAAGTCCATTCTATAAATAGATATTTATGATACTATAAACAAGAATCGGTCTCCCAGTAAATAGAAAATTGAGTGGTTTTAAACAAGCTTCAAGTTTTAATACTAAACATATTTTTAAGTTCTTGTAGAATGCATCATCCACACTCCTCTGAAAATACTTTTACCCTTTTTTGTAGGAGTAAACACTTCAATAATTTAGTGAAATAATGTTTCTTCAAAAAAATTAGAGTACAGTCTCAATAGAGCATGAAATGAGAAGGAAATAATAAAAGTTGGTAGAATATAAAATCAAATATTTCCAAGTCTCCATCCTAATGTTGTGTAAATTTTACTCCTCTTTACTCTATTTCTCAGTCTTAATGACATTTTGACCTTATAGAGGATTTCTTATTTTGTAATCCCCCACGGCTCAGGGTTTCCCTTTCCCACACTTCGTAATATTTCATAATACCAAGAAAATACTTTGTTTCCTATCCAAAAGAAGGAGGGGAAAACACCAGTCCAACAAAATAGCAAAGTATGCAACTGAAGCATACATAAATCAGCCTCTCCCCATGCATATTCTTGGAGTTCAATAAATATCTTAATATGAAACTGAAGCACAGATTGAAGAACAAAATTCATGCATACATAGATACATGCATACATACATTATATATATGTATTAGTCGTGTGTTTGTGTACTGGTAATGGGTATGTGTTTGTATACGTGGATGTGTGTATATCAATATATTATAGATACCACATTACTTCGTAACATATACGACACTGAAGTTCGCCAATTGCTTAGAACTCTCACCATGAACAAAAATTCGAGGATCATCATGCCTGCTGAAAACATCAACAGCGATTCTTCCACCACCACCTCCACCGTATCCATTACCTCCACATGCACTTATCTTGCCGTCACCAATCCTGTTCTTCACAAGAAAAATACTTTAATATTCAATTTTGTTCCATGTCCATGTTTTATGAAAACAAAAAGAACCAGATTTTTTAAAAAAATAATGGTAAAATGGAAACCAGCTGCATTAGGCTCTCAAATATTCTCACTCATCCAACGGTAAAATAATCGAACAAATAGGAGTAGGATATGCACTGTTCCAATGTGAAAACAAGCTGAAATTAAAGAGAGCGAACAAACAGATGGGGAGATAAGATGATAGTTACATTTTGTGAGCAAGGATATAGATGCTGCCACCCGACCCACCTCCACCTTTTGTCCCTCCATCACCCCCATCGGCAAGAACAACCCCATCAATTACTAGAAGGTCGTGGACGTCCAACTTCACCCTCCCGCCACCCATTCCACCATAGTCCACTTCCTTGTTCGTTGAACCACCCTGGCTCCCAAAACTGCTAGGCTTCTGCAGCGACGCCCATGAGTATGCATCACCTCCCCAAACGTCTTCAGGAAGCTTAGTTTTATCCGTCAAACAACAGGCTCCCCTCCCTCCATGTCCCCCACCTGCCCCATCAATAGTTTGTGGCGTCCCACTAGTCTGTGGTGGCGGATTCCCAGCTAAAGCCGTCGTATTCACCACAGACCCATTGAGAAAGCTAGCATTACCGGCGGCCAACTCAAAACTCCCGGTAAATATAGACGAATCATTGCTCAACGTAAAATTGCCAGTAATGTTAATAGTAATCGAACACCCCGGTTTAGGACAATCAAATTTCACCCCAGGCAGGATATAAAAATTCCCCTTCCCGGCTATATAAACATCATGAGTAAGGTTCAAATCGTTGACAATCTGACATGTAGTATCCAGCGAGCCAACGCCATCTAAATCACGGGTGCAGGAAACCGAAGGTGGATGAGGCGGCGGTGGCGGTGGGGCCGGCGGCGAGTAATCCTGGTGAAAAAGAAACGCATCGTAATCGATAATAGAAAATTCGTCGGTGGACGTAGATGACAAGACAGAGTGAGGCTTTGTAACAAGAACAGCAACTACTACAAGCGCAACAAAAAGGAAGCGGAAGTGAAATCGAGCCATTCACTACTGTCAAAAGTCATTAGGTCAGAAGGTGCAAGGATTGAGCTGAATTATCAAATGCGATTAGGGTCAAAACTCCATCCACCATGGAAGACGAATTCATGAAATTCAGAGGTGAAAAACCCCCCCACCTCCCACTGAAAACCCTAGAAATCGCTCTGCAAAAAACCAGACAGAGAAGGTAAGATTGAGGCTTTTTTTTTTTTTTTTTCTTCTTTCTAGAGAAGAGCGAATGAAAGAGGAAGGTGGGAGAAAAAATAAGGAAGGGGCCTTTACTTATTTCCGGACGACTGAAATGACAGAGAAATGTTTAAAAGCGGCTTGAGTTCAATGCGCTCGCCGACGTGTCATTTTCTCATTGGCTAAATAATCACAGTCAACTTTCCTTTTTGACTTTTCGTTGTTTTCCCGCGCGGGTGTTGGCACGTGTGGAGGTTTAATCGTGGTACTTCCTCACATTATCATTCAATAATAATAAACCCTACTCCTGTTCTAAGAGCGTGAAAACCACACGCTACTTTTAAACGACGTCGTGTAACATCATCATCCCTATTAATCCGTCGTTTCTTGTCCGAGATTAATACTCTCGACTGTTTTCAACCGCGGTGGAATCGCGTGGATGAGAGAGAGATTCAAGGGTTGTGATAAATTGTTTCGGTTGGGGGACGTAATTTTGTCACCGCCCAGTAAGGATGAAACAGCTAGGAGGGTGGTCAAGGCTTTTGACTGTTTTTCAACGGAAAGGATTGTCTGTGAGATAAGATGAAGCCGGTCACTTTCGGAATGGATTTGGTGGTGATCTGATCGTTGGATTGAAATTTTTGGAAACACGGCACCGTGCCTAGCCTACCACCAACTCAACAAATAACGCTTTTTTTCCTTTTTTGGAACTCAATTTTTGGGTTCAATAATAAATTCCCATCATGAATATAAATAGAAGTGTTTGTTTTAGACTTTCCAACAAATTAATTCTACTTTCTAAATTTTTCTAATTTAATTATGAGTTATAATATAATTTTGGTTATGGGTTCGATCAGGTGCATAATGGAGTTTGTAGCGAGCTCAGGTAGTTTGTCTCGTTGAAAACAGTCGAGATGTACACAAACTTTCCCATACACTCAAAGATATCAAATAGATAAAATAGTTTGAATTTTGTATCAGTTTGGTTCGTATGATATTATATATTATAATGTCTTCTTAAAAAATATGTATGATTAAAATGTAACAACTCAAGTCCATTACTAGCCGATATTGTCCTATTTGGGTGCATATATTGTCCTCTTTGGGTGCAGATATTGTCCTCTTTGGGTGCATATATTATCCTCTTTGGGTTTCCCCTTATAAGCTTTAAGATTTAAAAACATACTTGCTCAGGAGAGGTTTCCGCGCACTTATAAAGAATGTTTCCTTCTCCTCTCCAACTGATGTAGAATCTCACAATCCACCCTCCCTTCGAGACCCAACATCTTCGCTGACACTCGTTCCTCTCCAATCGATGTGAGATCTCACAAAAAAACTTCACGTGAATCATTCATTAGGTTCAACTAAACCATAATAACTAAGTTGAAGCCTTTAAAATCATAGGAATCACGTTGTAAGTCAAATGCGAGTTACATACTAAATCGAGACCGAAGTTCAACGAAACTTGTTATTCAACCTGATCGTTGATGCGACATACTCATTAAACCAGCAATCAATTATTCAAGACCTAGTATAAGCAATGTTTGGTAAATGCTATAGACCTCTCACCATCGTCATAAAAATTTATTCGTCAAAGAAATATTATATCGCAAATAAAGATTAAAAAAAAAAACAATCAATTAGAAGTACAAGACGTTTGAATCTCCGACCTTAGAATAAAGAATATACGTTATACGTCGTTGTAGCTTTCCCCTCCATAAAGAAAAGCAGTTGATAACAATAAATTATGGCATTCAATTCTGAGCAGAGAAAAAAGCATATGCTTTTACCAAAGTTGTAAAACCAAACAGATTTGTCTCTCAGCTCATTTGTTCCATTTCTTCTAAAGAAAGTAAAGTATTGTATGATCCCTCAAGTTTCTTATCAGCTAAGAAATGCATGAAAGGTCATAAACTTGGTATTAATAAATCTACTATGATCGTCCAGACATCCATCTCTACAACAATGGCATGAATTGCCCTGTATATGAAATAAAATTTAATACAATGTGGACTCATATGGCTAAAAATGGCTGTAAATATGTATATATGTTTATATATATATGGAAGGTTTGGCCATGCCCAGGTGCACATCTCTATCTACAGCTCAATTCATGCATATGATGGAAGTAAAGATCATATTTTACATCAAAAAACATGAACCACCAACCAGACAAGTCGAGTCGATGTTTCAGTGGTAATGCATCATGTAAGGAACTGTACTAACCGGTGAGATTCGTTGAGGATTGAGATATGCTCGTTGTAACGAACACTTTGGTAGTATGGCCCCGAAAGCGCGATGCCAATCTCTTGGCTTCTTTGGGCTGCTGCAAGTTTTGAAAAGACTGGAGGGAGCTGAAGCTGAAAGAAGTATATCAATCCAAATAATGGCTCAAGTTTCTCACAGTCTCTTCATTTTTCAGCTTTGTTGTGGCTTTCCTTTCAATTTTTCGAACCCATTCCTTACTTACGCGCAGAAGTTTTCCGATTTCCTCGAGCGACTTGGGTTGGGAATCCATGAGTCCGTATCGCAGCACCAGGACCTGTCTCTCCCTTGATTCCAACACTTCAAGAAGATTAAAGATGTCTTTCTTCATTAGCCTCCGCTTCACAGTGTCTTCTGGGCTCTCTATTGATGTATCTGCTGTCAATTCCTGCACCATAAGAGTCACAATATGTTTAAAGAATATACTATATTAATTTATTGGTAAGTTGTAACATCCGGTAGAAGGCCGGGATATTCTAAACTTGCTCTTTTCAAATAAGCTTATAACAACTCAAACTCACCGCTAGCAGATATTACCATATTTGGGCTTCTCCTCAAAGTTTTAAAACGCGTCTACTAGAGAGAGGTTTCCACACCCTTATAAGTAATGTTTCGTTCCCCCTCTCCAACCGATGTGGAATCTCACAATCCACCCGCCTTTAGGGCCCAGCGTCCTCGTTGGCACACTGCCCAATATCTGGCTCTGATACCATTTGTAACAGCCCAAGCCCACTACTAGCAAATATTGTCTTTTTGGGCTTTCTTTTCCAAGCTTCCCTTCAAAATTTTAAAACGCATCTACTAAGGAGAGATTTCCACCCCCTTATAAGAAATGTTTCGTTCACCTCTCCAACCGATGTGGGATCTCACATAGCTCGACTTCACACATTGGCATGGCCAATTATGAATTCATATATAAGCTTTTGATGAACAAACTTCAGTAAAAGAAAAAGAAAAAGCTCTCAATTAATCAACATAGACAAAATATGCCCAAGAATTGTCAAGAAGTTCAAAGAAAATAGGGAGCTAATGATATCCTAGACGGAAGAGCGAGAGTCTTACCATATATTTCATATTTAGTCCATCACCTATCTTCTGATCAACTGAACCCACAACTTTTAAACAGTTGCTAGCAACTCTAACCTTGGCCAAAGGAAGACCAGTAGCCTTGGCTACATCGTCATCCGAATATCTCCTACCACTGTTGTTCAACGCTTTTCGAGCCTTCTGTATTTGATTTATTGCCTTGGTTAATGACCACTACAAAAGAATTATAAGGATGAGTCAGTCATACATGAATATGAAAACTTCATGAAATTAGCCTCCCAGTGAAGAAAGAATCGTACTGGAATTTGAATTCCCCTTGAACTTCGTGCCACGACTCTCGACATTGATTTCCTTATCCAGTATTGAATATAGGTTGAGAATCTAAAACCCCTTTTCGGGTCAAACCTTTCCACACCTTGCAGCACGCCAATGGCTCCTGCCTACGAGTACACGAGAAAATAAACATCAAGATGCATAGCGCCTTGCATTTTTCTTACTATACTTCTATTGAGAAATGTATGTTTCAAGGCAAGGCATCAGTATTCAACATTTGCATTCATGAAAGCAAAAAAGAAAGTGGAGTACGTATGTATATGTGTATATATATATATGTATATGTGTATACATTTGCATTTTTCTTACTATACTTCTATTGAGAAATGTATATATATATATATATATATATATATATATATATATATATATTCATTGAAATTCGAAGAACCGAGGTTTCTCATAGAATAGTAATGAATAGACCTGAACCAAGTCCTCCATTGGTAACCCGGAGCATCGATATTTCTTTGCAAGGAATATAACCAATGAATTAGTACTCCTTAAGAGCTCATCCTGGCAGAACCAACCAAATTGTAACTGTTTCTGCAAGTCCTTTATATCAATGCTGGATGCGTCGGCCCAGCAACTCATGCTTGCTGTTCTTCCGGATTCCTTTTCTAAAGTTTCTCTAATTCTTTCTAAATTTGCAACTACCTGCAATGAAACAGAAGCTTAGCATAAAAAGTATTGGAAGGATGGTTGTGCGAACATCAAACACGAATCAACCTTAACCCCGGTGGACATTTCAGCTTCATTTCGAGCAACAATCGATCTTCTTTTTTTCGAATTAGATGCTTTTTTCCTCGAACTACGGAATTTTTCTTTAGCAGCTCTTGTAGCTAGCGGCCGTGAAGCAACTTTATCAGCATTATCCATTGCTCTCCTTTTTACTGATCTTCTTCCTGCTCTTTTTCCAGAGTAAACTATGATATTGTGGTTCTGGTCATCGGTTTTCTGGTTTACATTATGATCTCCACCAACCTCAATAGGTAAGTCCGACAAATCACGAAAACTTGATGATGCTTTAAGCGTCCTAGACAGACAGGCATTGAAAAACTCCAAAGCTCCAAGTTTTGTTAGTTGCAATACAATATCTCTTTCCAAGCTTAGCATGCCTGATTCAGTAAAAGTTTCCTCCAAAACATCAAGGTTTTCCATTAACATGTCAAAAGGCGAGGCCCTGCCAGTAGGCAAGCTTGTACAGGAACAAAAATTGTCCTCTACCTTGGATGGCCCAGAATTTTTCGACCCGTAATGCAAATGACTGAGTGACTTTGCCCCACTGTTTATCTGAAATAACATATAAGATACATCCCATCAAGGACAAGAAACCAAGCGAGGTCAAGCCAACAAATGGGTGTTGTGAAGTTCATTGCAAAGGGCTAACCTCTACCTCTTTCTCTTCCAAATCTAACAGACCATCGGCTAAGGTTTGTGGAGCTTCAGATAAGCAAGTATATGTTTTCAAGGCTTCTCTAGAAATAGCCTCTCCTTCCTCACAAGTACTGGAGAAGAACGAAAGCCTTCCTGAATTAAAGGAAGCTTCCCTGCCTTTAGCTGTTTTAAAATGTAGAACAGAACAAAATTTATAATGCATTCCCACGCCAATAATAATCGTATAACCTTAAAACATGCTAAGAAATGAGGCTTTTCTCAGTCTGATCCAAAGAAATTAAAGATAGATCGAATATTCACACTTCATAACCATTCCAGGAGAAATTTGAGAGCCTAACAATCTCCAAAAGACTCAAAACAAGTTCACATTCAGGAAATGTAACAGATATATATAGCTATAATCATTCAGGAGCAAGAACACAAAATTCCCGAGAAATCCCAGAAACGTGCCTTATTCAAATGATCGAGATAACCGGAAAACAATTCAAAATGCCTCACAAAATCGATAACAAGTAGAACAATGGCAGATTGAAAACGAGAAAACCGAACAAAGAGCAAGCGGGAACCCACGGAATTTCAGAAACAAATTAAAAACCCAGATATGAATCGAGATTGTTCATGATTCAGCATCTTAGTTCAGAGAGAAAGAACTAACAGGCATAGGGAGAGAGCTTGGAAGGGGAGGCCCTGCGGGAATGAGTCTGAATTTGGAAAGCCCACTTGAGATTTGGGCGGAAACTTGTTCCCATCGTGGAAATCGGAGGCAGGGAGAGGGAGAAGATTGGTGATGAAGAAGTAATTACTCATGCAATCTGATGAGTGAAAATGTGGACGTGGAAACTGCAAATTCTCTACCACCAATTCTAAATCTCCTTCTTCTAAGAATTTGGGGAAAAAAAATCAACAACATTTCTTTTTCCACAAAAAAAAAGTTCAAAAATATCTCCTCCCCGACGACGAGCTTCAAATGGATACTCCTTCACGGGTCGGGTCCAAAACCCCATTAACGCATCCTTTTTAATCATTGCAGCTTAATATATACATATATATATATATATACATATATATATATATATATATATATATATCTTAGTTCTTGAATTTTGATAATTGATTAAATTTTATCTTAAATTTAGTATTGATTATTAGTGGATAAATATAAATGGTTAAGAAATAGAAATAGAAAATAGAATTGGAGAATGTATCATCTTCAGGTTTAGCACGTTTAAATAGATACAAACTATTAACTAGAAAAAAATGTATAACTAACTAAATCTTGTAAATAAATAAAATACACCATTAATCAAATTTATACTAACAACTCCCTAAATATCTCAAATATATTCAGTTTGATGATTCAAGTTGGTAACTTTTCTTGAACTATATGATAATCTATTTCAATGTATTTCGTACGATCGTGAAAAACTGGATTGGCTCCTATATGTAATGCTGCTTGATTATCACAATATAATAATACTGGTTTGGACAGTGGAACATTCAAGTCTTGAAGAATGTATCTTAACCAAGTTAACTCTAAACAAGTATTTGTCATAGCTATACTTGTCATAGCTCGATACTTGAAGAATGTATCTTAACCAAGTTAACTCTAAACAAGTATTTGTCATAGCTCGATACTTGAAGAATGTATCTTAACCAAGTTAACTCTAAACAAGTATTTGTCATAGCTCGATACTCGGCTTCTGCTGATGATCTGGACACATTGCTTTTTAGACTTCCAAGAAATAATTGAATTTCCAAGGAAAATGCAGAACTCAGAAATAGACCATCTGGAAGTTCGACAACCACCCTAGATCGCAATATGTTTGTAATCTTAAATTGTTTTCAGATGGGAGTAGGAGTCCTTGACCAGGAGTGCCTTGTTTTCATATGGGAGAGTCCTTGACCAGGAGTGCCTTTGATGTACCTCAGAACTCGAAGAGCTGCCTCCCAATGTGGTTTTCTTGGTTCATGCACCATGTTGAGAATGAGAAATAAAAATAGAAATAGACTGCAATGATTGACTCGAGGATTGGTAACTTGCTCCATTTAATTTGATTTGAAACAAGTGAATATCTTCCCTGATCACTTCTTGGTCTATGCATAAATGATTTACTGGATAATAACACAAAGATCGGTGCTCTGGATCACTTGAGAGGTTGTGAAAAAAAATACGAACATCTTGAATATGTCACCTTTGAGCTTGATGAGAAATTTGAAAGATGCTTATAACGTATTCTTGATATTGGATGATTGGCGGCTGTAAAGACTTCACTAATTGGTTAGGGTTTGGCTTTAGGTTTAATACTCCCGGGTATTAAAAATACCAAGATCGGTACTCTGATACTATGTTAAGAAATAAAAATAGAAAATAGAATTGGAAAAGGGTAGGATCTTCATTCAAGTTTACCCGTTTAAATAGATACAAACTATTAACTAATATCTAAAAATAGAAAAAAAATATATAACTAAGGTAAATAAATAAAATACACCATTAATCAATTTATACTAACAACTCTAACTAATATATCTCCAAAATATCCTGTTAATATAAATAAATATAAACTTAAAAATATAAAAATTAAAATTAAAAAAGCTCAAATAGATTTTTAATATATATATATTATTATTATTATTATTATTGTTTTGGTATTGGAGCTCGAACTTTGATTTTTTAAAATACTAAATTTTAATATATTTAAAATATTAAATAAGTAGTTAAATTTTAGGATTCTCCCACTTTAACAAATTAAAAATCAAATTTTAAAATATAGAACCAAACATATGATATGAAATATTGGAGGGAGAAAAAGTCTTTTTTACCCTGTATCGCTGATATTTGAGGGGTTTTTTTTTTCTCAATTTTTTATTAAATATTATATCATTTATATTTTTTAATTCTCATTATTTTTTCATTTTTTTTCAACTTTTATATCCTATATTAATTTCTATTTTGTTGTTATTTTTCTCATACTCTACAATCTCATTAATTTATATTTGGTACCATTTTGACCCATTTATTAATTACTAACATATTATGACATTTATTTTTTATTCAAAAAATATTTTTACACTTTTAAAATAAACAAAATATTTATCACTAACATTTTGTAGTTTTGATATACTAAAATACTTTCCGTCTGCCTATACATGCATATAACTAACTTAATTTATTATTTACTCAGTTGTGTCATCACTTGTGACGTGGCAATAAGAACGACATCCAGAAGAGCATCACAAACGGTACCGAAGAACTTGGTTGTGTAAGGATTTGTTATTTAGACATGAAAAGAAAATGAAGCATTACTTCTCTATCCAAATCCCAAACCGAAGTCTCAAACAAAAATCGATCATTTAACTCTAATTTTAAACAAGCGTCGGTCGGATTTTAAACCTTATTTTCTACCAATGATTGAACAACATATGGATTAAAAAGCAGATTGTTAAAACAAGATTAAAGGTTGGTTGGATGCATGTCACCGAGTGATGCAATGAATATATGTTATTCCAAAGGAGATTGAGAAAGATGAAAAGAATCTGCACGGTTTGTGTTACCGTTATTCAACTAATGGCTATACGAGTTTACGAGCAACTTAAGAGTTATTTCTCGAACCTAATAGTAAAGTAAAGTGTTCGTTTTGAAATTTTAGGAACAAAATAGATACTAACCCCGAATTAATTACGAGCTAGAAGTGTATTTTGCCCTTTAAAAAATTTAGAAAAAAAGATGACGATAAAGGGTCGAGAGATCAAATTGAGGATAGGAACAAAGATAATTACAATCCACATCCTCATCCTCGGTTTTTGAAACAAAAATGGAAAAATTCTCCGTCCACCCTTGCCTCACCCCTTGCTCAAATGATGAATCTTTGACGTGCAAAGATTGATACCTCTACTTGTTTGACTGGTTACATATTTCCGTCTTAAAACACATCTACTAGGGAGAAATTTCCACATCTTTATAATGAATGTTTTGTTTTCTTATTCAACCGATATGAGATCTCACAATCCGCTCTTTAGGAGTCCAACATCCTCGTTAACACATCATCCGGTGTCTAGCTCTATTCAAATTTTGTAGCGTGAATGCCAAAGAAAAACAGGTTGGTCGGGATGACGTATTAACAACAATCAAAATGATTTGGAGAAAAGGAAAGGAATGGGGCCAAAGAATATGGCGTGTAGAAATGGAACTGCCAAAGATTGTATGCATTAAAAGAGAAGGAAAGAAGGAAAGGGAAATGGGAGACAAAATGAAGGAAGACCAAAAGGCATTAACAACGTTGGCTCATCAAACGAGGCTCATGTCCTTCCCCTTTCTTCTTTGCCTTATTGCTTGTACTACCCTTTGCCTTTTATCTTCGTAGAAACCGAGTGTAACGACCCGTTTTTCGAGCTATTCGAGCCTTACTTGGTGACGTACAAATAATAAAAAAATACGTGAAATTTAAAATATTTAAACACGTGAATGCAAATTTAAAATAGGTATTTAAAGGTAAGTAGAAAGCAACTCCAGACCCGAATAAGTGCTGACTCTGGTTATCAAATGATTGAACAACCGGGAGTAATTTACTTACGATACTTAGTTGACATTCATAAAAAGTATCTAATGAATTATGAGTTCAATACATTCTGTTTAGCAGAAAGACGGACATTCCTTGTTCATTATCAGACAATCACTTATTCACAAACCTCGTGTGGGGCTAATAGTTTGAATTTTCCATCTCATGGAAAACCCTTTTCGCTCCGCTTAGCCCTATCCCCCCGTAGGGGTATTTTAGTGATAGGTTCTATAGGAACTGGACGATCCTATTTGGTCAAATACCTAACGACAAACTCCTATCTTCCTTTCATTACAGTATTTCTGAACAAGTTCCCGGATAACAACCCTAAGGGTTTTCTTATTGATGATAGTGACGATATGGATGATAGTGACGATATTGATGATAGTGGCGATATTGATGATAGTGGCGATATTGATGATAGTGGCGATATTGATGATAGTGGCGATATTGATGATAGTGACGATATCGACCGTGACCTTGATACGGAGCTGGAGCTTCTAACTATGATGAATGCGCCGCTAACTATGGATATGATGCCGGAAATAGACCGATTTTATATCACCCTTCAATTCGAATTAGCAAAAGCAATGTCTCCTTGCATAATATGGATTCCAAACATTCATGATCTGGATGTGAATGCGTCGAATTACTTATCCCTTGGTCTATTAGTGAACTATCTCTCCAGGGATTGTGAAAGATGTTCCACTAGAAATATTCTTGTTATTGCTTCGACCCATATTCCCCAAAAAGTGGATCCCGCTCTAATAGCTCCGAATAAATTAAATACATGCATTAAAATACGAAGGCTTCTTATTCCACAACAACGAAAGCACTTTTTCACTCTTTCATATACTAGGGGATTTCACTTGGAAAAGAAAATGTTCCATACTAATGGATTCGGTTCCATAACCATGGGTTCCAATGTACGAGATCTTGTAGCACTTACCAATGAGGCCCTATCGATTAGTATTATGCAGAAGAAATCAATTATAGACACTAATATAATTAGATCTGCTCTTCATAGACAAACTTGNAAGGGTTTTCTTATTGATGATAGTGACGATATGGATGATAGTGACGATATTGATGATAGTGGCGATAAGTAGAAAGCAACTCCAGACTCGAATAAGTGCCTTCGCCTCGACTGCTACGTTGAACTCCACTTGAAAAGATAGTTGAAGTAGCAAGCAGAAGTGTATAAGATATATTTAGTAAGCAGCTTGTTGGTAGTTCGTATTTCGTTATTAAGTCTTATTGATCTTGTTCATATGTTCGGTATCTTATTCTCTTTTGAGAATTCGTTCCACCGTATAGGCTCTTTTTAAAAACTACACCTTAGGTTTTCTTATTCTCTTGG